TACTCGTTTGGGGATGGATAGGATAGTCTCTTTTTCTTCGCACAAGATATAAAAAGTAAGTCAGATTTTTTTAATGCTAGATTATATGTATTTCGTCCATTTATTCTCTCCTTTCCCCCAACGGAATTGTCGCAAAATATCTTTGGTTTCATTTAATATATATTTATGATATGTATGTATACGCTAACACAGCGGGTCTCAAGAACGATTGCTTTACTCCGGATCAACAATAAGTGTTTTAAGCCTTAAGTCGTAAGAAATTGACCAATTACAGTCTAATTCGAGGAGAATAATCGACTGTGATTCGTCCATTTCTTATGGCTTAAGGTTTAAAACTCTATTGTAGATCCGGGGTTATTCGATAAGAAATGGGCGAATCACAGTCGATTATTTCCCTCGGATTCAACTGTGATTGATCAATTTCTTACGGCTTAAGTCTTAAAACACCTATTGTAGACCCGGACTTAATGACAAAGATAAGGCAGCTCCAATACGGCCTCGACATAGCCCTGCTCTCAAGCTACGACATATCTAATCTTAATATTTATTGGCACAATAATAAAAATTTTTATGAGGAATCCATCTCTCGTGGTACCTTCGTTGAGTCAATTCGGGACCCCCTGGAGATACGTCTTTGCATTATCCTAACCTTCGTGACATCATGGCGTCTGATTGCAGTGCATAATCTGTTGCACCAGCAACTGTATCGTCGGTGTTGGTCGTCGCGCCTTATCGAGTTATCGCGCGGTACATCTCGCTTTACGCGATCACGAAGAGACACGAAAGTGGTCGATTTTTTTATCGCGTCGGAACCGATCGGCGCTCTCTCGTTATTTTGTCCGCGAGCGTTTCGAGAGCCCACGAAAGATAACCTAATCACTCATAATCGTTTCTCCATTGCAATTTCACGGCTCTAGTCGCAACTTTTTTTATACGGCATACCGATCGTCCGAACGTACAGCTTGTGATAATTTCGGCGAATTTTCAGCCGAACAATTCGGCTCGTTCGCGATCGGACTGTTAAACGTACGCGCGCGTTATTCTCATCTGTGTGTGTGGTTCACGCGCGTGTGTGCGTGCGTGTGTGTGTGTGTGTTCCCCGTGCTGTGGAAATTGGAATGCGCCACAGTGGCGGTCGACAAGCGACGTCGTGAAACCGGCGGAGATCGTTCTCGCTGCGGCAAGACAGTCGATACTATGCGCCACGAGGGATCGAGACACATAAATGCGCCCGGAATTGGTGCGCGGAGCAGCACGTGAAGTTCCAAGGGCGGTAAGTCGACACCGTTCCACTTCTATCTCTCTCCCCTCTCTCCCTGTATCCCACACGCTCCAATAACGCTAGGCGGAATTGGGTTGTCGCAACGTAAAACTTCGGCCGTTTCAGTGAAATTCTAAACTGTAATAACTGTGTTTAAACTAAATTTTATCGACCGAAATAAGTGCCGGAGAACGCGATACGCTTTTCCCAAAGTAAAGAACGCTGTTGAAACTATCGAACAACCTAATTTCGCGTAACGTTACATCGATGACTTTGAAATTGGATATGAAGTACCATTTCATAATTATTACATAATTTATTACGAATCGTAATTAATTATTAATTAATTACATTTGGTGCACAGTTTCCAGCAAGAATGATTTTGTCGTACGACAAATTATTTTTTTTAGCTTGTTGATTGGCTGTAGGATAGAGAGATCCGAAAGACTCTGTTTTGCAGCCAATTAACACGTTTGAAAAATTTGTATGACAAATATAGTCCATTTTTACAACCACAATCATTTTCGCAATTCTAAAATGGGCTTAATATTAACTTTAAGCCCATTCCACAGTTACGTAAGCGTTGAAAGTGGTTGTAAAAATTGACCAATCGCAGTTGAATATGAAGATAATATTGGACTGTGGTTGATCGATTCTTAAGCCCGACACAATACGAGGGAATAGCGATAGCGATAGGAATATACCATGATTTCAACCTATCAGAAATCGGATATATCGGAATACACAGTTTCTGATAGGTTGAAATCATGGTATATTCCTATCGCTATCGCTATTCCCTCGCATTGGCTGCGGTCAGCAGAAAAAGCTTTGCAACTGTTGTAAAATTCTTGAATATGATTGGGTGCGTTCAGCAGAACGTTTGTTTTGCAACTGTTGTAAGTTTCCTTCGCGCTAATTGGATCATACTTTTAGATCTAGAAGAATGGTCCTGTCTCAGCAGACAATCATAAAACGGTTGCAAAACTGTTGAGTCTGCTGAACGCAGCTAATGATTTATACATTTAGATCCAATGAGGAACTAAGGGCAAGACCAATCATATTAAAGAATTTTACAACAGTTGCAAAGCTGCTTTTTCTGCTGAACGCAGCCATTGTATCTTGGGCTTAGCAACTACAACCATGCTTACGCAATTGTAGAATGGGCTTCACTCGCTGAAAAGTATCCGCAATCTTGCGAGGAACTGCGAGGTTTCGTGAGATCATCGATTGTCTCACGCAGAGAAATCGATTCGCGATCACCGTCACGGAGGATTTACATATCTATTTTTAAATCGTATTACATAAATTGCACGTCTCGAGCGTGAGGTTTACAAGCAACGATCGTGGGACTTTAGTGACTTTAATCCGTACTTATAATACCATAGCCGGCGCGGCGATTATCGCTGGACGCGGCCGTTCTACTTCCGGACTTTATTTATCTCGCGCGCGATAATGGCTACGTTTACACCGTGCATTTAGGCCGCGGCCTATACAATAGATGTCCTTGTTTATCCTGTAGGTTAAACAAAGACACCTATCGTATAGGTCGCTGTAACCCCGGATCTACAATAAGTGTTTCAAGCCTTAAGTCGTAAGAAATTGACCAATTACAGTCTAATTCGAAGAAAATAATCGACTGTGATTTGCCCATTTCTTATGGCTTAAGGCTTAAAACCCTATTGTAGATTCGGGGTAATGGCTACGTTTACACCGTGTATTTAGGCCGCGGCCTATACAATAGATATCTTTGTTTATCCTGTATATTAAACAAAGACACCTATCGTATAGGTCGCGGCCTAAGCGCACAGTGTAAACGTAGCCATTAGTCCGGATCTACAATAGATGTTTTAAGACTTAAGCCGTAAGAATTTGACCAATTACAGTCGAATTCGAAGAGAATATTCGACTGTGATTCCCATTTCTTATAGTTTAAGGCTTAAAACTTTATTGTAGATCCTGGGTTATCCATAAAGCCCGTATCAGACTACCGACTCTGCAGACCGACCCGACTG